TTGTCCCTCCAACGAATGCTGGAGGAACAGAGGTGGGAGGGGGAATCCCTTGGGGAGCGGTGACTGATAGTTACCACTCTCTGCAGGGAGAAGACCGAGAGCTGAGCACTCAGTGGTTCATGATTGCTCAGCTGTTGATCTATAGAGCCAGCGCTCTCCCGAAACTTCTCCATTAAGTTCCATAGAAAAGTTATAAACCTGTTCAGAGCTGGTGAAAGAAAACCTTTCCAATAATATTTTTTTTTACATAGTATTCACAAGCAGCCCAAGCTATCAGCATTCACTAAAGCCCAGCTAAGTTTCCTCCATATACATATAACATCTCTACCGAACAAAACAGGAGATGCAACCTCAGAATCATAAACAAGAAGTACCTGCTAGTGTACTACACACAAGTAACTGCAAAGTGTGTATGACTATTAAAAAATTCCACGTGGCGTGACTAGAAACAGCTGCTAATCAGGTAGCAGGGTTCTCCTCCTTACCCTGACAAGGGAGCACATAATCCTTGGAGTGTTGGGTTGTGGCTTTATTAGTCTCCTAAGGAACATTGGGATATAAGCTAGTCACAGTCTTGTGCAATACATTCCCCAATTGCAGTTAATATGGGGTGGAGTCAAATGGAATTCAGAATACCTTTCTTTGGTGCTCAAAAGACACTAAAGTATGGATCCACTGAATTTAAAGAAGGCTGCTCAGCTGAATGAATGTACTTTTCTCATGAATTATAATAATGCATTTCTCAGATTAGGAGGGACATACTGAAATAAGCTTAAGGCTGCCTACAGACACCCAACATTTGCAGGCCATGTTACTGATGCACAGTTGGTAATAATCAGAAATGATATGGTTACTATTAGACAGCAATGAGAGTTTTTTGATTCAGTATAATTTTCTGTGAGAGGGATGCACCATTCAAATGTCCCCAGAAAGGTCAAAGGGGGTCCAGAACATAATATGGGCCCATTTCTTTTTTTTTTTTTTCCTTGCTCAGTCAGAAATCTACCTGTTAACGGGCACCCTAAACAGCAAGTTGTTGTCTACGAAACTAAAAAGGGGAGTATTATTTAGCTCAGGCCAGAAGAATCTGATAATCATAAACACATAAATGACACATTACTTTTATGAAAGCCTTGAAAGGGCATGTCCTGGGGAAGACATGAATTTCTCTCCTGAACTTCCTTGATGAGTAATGTAAGTGGCAGCCAGCCACACCACAATGCACTGGAAAATCCAGTCAAATCGACTTCTCACTTCCAGTCAGCACCACACCCCCACCTTCCAGCACAACTCTGACAGGTAGTGTGAGCGTCCTGACTGTACAATACAGGGAAAGAGCAGCAACGGTGGGGCCTCATATAAAATACCAGGTTCCTCTAAATGAGCTACATAAAGAGTGTTCAACCATATTCCTGCAACCCAAATCTCTTTATATATTTACAACACTGTACATGGTTACCAGTAATGTAAACTATTGCAGCATGGAAACTCACTAAAATCATTCGAGTAAATTGCAAATTTGGAAACTGAAATCAAACAATTGAAACCACAGACCTTTTTACAGTTTCACCTGTTTCAGGTTCAGGCAATAAAGAAAAAGAGTGTGCAAAGGGAAAATATGTGTATCAGCCCATAGCAACCAATCAGATTACAGCTTACTGAACGCACAGTGGTGAAAACACAAGATCTGACTGGTTGCATATTTTACATGTTTGACTTTGTTATTTGCCTTATTGCGTCAGCATGTTTGTGACCTGCATACATTATCTTTGTTAAAGGAGGGTCTTACTGAATGGTTTTTGGTGGAGGGGAGATGCTGGACCCCTCTTACAGTGATTAGCTTTCTCTGCCATTAATCATTTTGTTCCCATGTTTTATGTGAAATAACACATCCTTGCCTCACTTAAGCCTGCAACCAGTAAACCAACCAGCTGAGTGCATCGCTAAAGCCTGCAGCACCCAGGGGCCAGCAGGGAGAAGCAGGTACATTTAATATAATCTCGGGATGTGTTATTTTATACAACTCTTCTAAAAAAGTGGAACTCTTACAGCCGTAGTTAGAAACATAATTGTAAGAGGAACAAATGACAATCTTTGTTCTATTCAGTAGAGGCCACTGAATGGAAATTGTCAGCTTTCTGTTCTGCATTACATGGGAAGGGTAAGGGGCTACCGACATTGGCAAGTCCTAAGAGAAAGGAATGCTATTTGTATAGGAATGGATCAGCATGCTCTTTAATGAGAATGCAAATTCTACAGCAGGGGTCAGCAACAGGTGGATTGCAATCTACTCTTTGATCAAGGCCATGTGATGGGTAGATGGAAACCCGGCTATGCCATTCACCAGCTCCTAACCCCACCTGCTGCCACTTAGACCTCAGACGAGAGTGGAAATAGGCATTTTAGAGTTGAGGCAAGTTCTAGGTTCCTGCTCTGCTCTGATAGGCGCCACTGTATCTGAGGTCTGGTGAGTAAATTGTACAGTGAGGGATGAGGTAATTTGTGCTGTGGGAGATTTAAGCTTAGGGGATAAATGTTTGTTCTGGAAGGGTGGTATTTTTGATTGTTGGGTGGGTGGGGTTTGTGGATGTGTGTTAGTTATTCCTGATCTCTACACTGTGTGTTACATACTACTGACCTTTGCATTGCTCATTACTTTCAACTGATCCCTACACTCTGCGTTAGTGACGTCTGACCTCTGAGTACTTACTCCTGACCCCTGCACTCTGCGTTACTCGATGTGCATTACATGCTGCCGAACTCTGCCCGGCGAGTTACATGCTGCCGAACTCTGCCCGGCGAGTTACATGCTGCCGAACTCTGCCCGGCGAGTTACATGAAGAGTTACATGCTGCCGAACTCTGCACTGAGAGTTACATGCTGCCGAACTGTGCACTGCGAGTTACATGCTGCCAAACTCTGCACTACATACTACTGATCTGACACTTCAAACCTTTCTTACTTTTTAATGCTATGCTAGATTATCTAATTATCTAGATGTTAAAAGTGCACGGCACCCAGGTGATGTTTCATCTATCCCATGTTGTTCAGGTAGATCTCTACCTTTCCAAGGTCGCCTACTCCAGTACTAGTTTAATTTTACCATGGCACTTAGGAGAATGGATGCCTTGTGCCTAGCTTTGTCTTGATCCTAGCACTATTGTGGCTTTGGGAGGGCACCAAACCAGGAAAAGAACAGTACACAGTGGAAACATCTGGGCTGCAGGAGCTGCCAAGTTTGGTATTACCTATTGGATTCAGGCATGTTCAAAAATATCAACAGTACCATTGCTTTTATGTTAATTAATGGAGCCAACTGTGCAAAGGAAGAAAATGTATTGCATTACTCATCATTTAAAAGGAGAACTATGAGGTGAGTGCTTTTCACTCCCCTCATAGTTCTAGCTGACCTGTGACAATGAGACTGTCACAGGTCGGCTAGAACTATGAGGGGAGTGAAAAGCACTCACCTCATAGTTCTAGCTGACCTGTGACAATGAGACTGTCACAGGTCGGCTAGAACTATGAGGGGAGTGAAAAGCACTCACCTCATAGTTCTAGCTGACCTGTGACAATGAGACTGTCACAGGTCGGCTAGAACTATGAGGGGAGTGAAAAGCACTCACCTCATAGTTCTAGCTGACCTGTGACAATGAGACTGTCACAGGTCGGCTAGAACTATGAGGGGAGTGAAAAGCACTCACCTCATAGTTCTAGCTGACCTGTGACAATGAGACTGTCACAGGTCGGCTAGAACTATGAGGGGAGTGAAAAGCACTCACCCCATAGTTCTCCTTTAATGTACTAAACTAGGATTATTCTATTGCTAGGTCAACATGGTGTGGCCTTGCAAGCACAGTATGCTTTTTGTCTATATTTTCTTTTATGCTGATATATATATATATATATTATAAAAT